GAGAGACCTAGCAAGGGATTTTCGCGTTTTTCCCTATAACTATTGAAGATAAACCGAGAGATAAACATGTCAAACCATATATCGTTGAAATCAGCGCACAATATACAGGGTGTTCCATTTAAAAAAGTATAACTTAACTTCACACTGCTACACTTTTTTGACGCACCCTATGTGTCTTAAACTAACTTAGTTACAGACTTTTGACAATTTTTTAAAACTTTTGTATTTGACACTTCTGTCAAAAACGTCAAATGATAAAGTTAGCAGTGGGTGACATTTATAATAGATCAACCTGGTACATACAAACTGAATTTTTAGAATTTCTTAGAATTTTTTCGAATTATCAGTATTTTTTTGCATTTTTTAGTATTTTCTAGCATTTTCTAGAATTATTTAGTGTTTTTTCGAATTGAACTAGAATTTTTTAGAAATAATTCAGAATTTTTATCTATTGCGCATGCTCAATTTTTTAGAATTTTTAGAATTTTTTGGAACAATAATAATATGAAAATTAGCATTTTTTAGAATTTTAGAATTTTTGGTGTACAAAATTAAGTAGGTGGATTCCCCCTCGGATTATACTGAGATTTTCTCACCAACCACTCGTTTTGTTATGACAATTATCGAGTACTTATTATCAGTTGCTGCAATAATACAGGAAGAAGACCATATTTTTATTCACGATGAAAGTTATTGAGAAAAAAGCAAACCCTGTTGATATACCGGCTACCCTAATCAGGATTCAACTAGAAATCCAACTGATCATTGATTTGCAGGTCCATATAGAGGAGTAGTTGAATCTCTATTATTGGCTGCCATTATATCAAGGCCAGATAGTGTTTTTGCAGTGGGAGTTGTGAACAGAATTTGTTGAAAAGAATATTGAAATCAGATATTGCCAACATATAGAATTTAACGAGAGAACCATAGACTGCAATTTTTCAGATCTAGAAATTCTACTGTGTGACATTGTTGTGCATAATGTTTACAATTTGTGTATTTTACATACCGCCTGGCAGAGCTGGGATCGTTACTTGAAAAAAGTAACGCGTTACTTTGCAGTTACTTTTGCTTAAAAATAACTCGTTACTTAAAATTTACAGTTACTTTCGAATAATGATAACTTTATTTTCGTTACTTATTGGAAAGTAACGCGTTACTGTAACTTCTTTACTTTGAAAGTAACTTCTTTACTTTAAAAGTAGTTCGTTACTTTTAAAGTAACGCGTTACTTCAAAAATAACTATTTACGTCGAAAATTGCGTTATTCCTTAATTAGACTCACCAACACAGCAGTCCAAACAATCAAATAAGACCTACACGAAATGCCAATATGTTTTTAGTTTGTGAGTCCGACTATGTGAAGGAGTATTCTTGCAAAATTCAAACGGACTAAGGATTAAGCGACTGAATAGAGCACTTGGTTTTGGACAAACCTCTCTTTGAAGCGTCCCAGTGTCTGCATTTAGTGTCTTTAGAGCAGAGGCGGCGCGTGGCACGCCCAAAAACGATTATTTTGAGCTTTCAAAACAAACTTTCTGTACTACCAACATTTTATTTGACATACAAAGTTTTTGGATTACTTATTTTCCTGTTCCTCACTCGTCAATTATTTTTAAAGAAGATAAACAAATTGAGAGAACGAGTTACTTTCATAGTAACTAGTAACGCGTTACTTCCAGCGTTACTTCAGGAAAGTAACGTCGTTACAGTTACTTATCAATCAATCTGAAAAGTAACGAAGTTACCAAGTAACGCGTTACTTTCAGTAACTCGTTAAAGTAAAGTAACTTTTTTTTGTCGTTACTCCCAGCTCTGCCGCCTGGGAAGGCTACAGCACTGCAAAATCAAACTTGGGATAATGCACAATATAATGATGATGATAAATTCAATAGCCAATGCATTCACATTTAAAAACCCAATTTTTATATTTGGAGATCTCAACTACCCCAACATAAACTGGAATACCCTATTTGTATCTCCCACAGACAAGAAAACCCAAGATTTTCTAGACATGTACCAGGAGGGTAACATGCCACAAATGATTAACTTTTCAACAAGATTCAGAAACAACCAAAGCTCTCTGTTAGACCTATTCTTGTGTAGTGATCGAAAAAGTATTTTTGACCTGACATCAGAGCCACCCATCGGGCGCAGTGATCATGTTATCATTACAGCAAAACCTCATTTAAAACTACCACCAAGATCAACACAAAAAGTGCTGTGTAGGAACTACCACATTGCGAAATATGAAGACATTAATAATTTCATCAGAAATCAACCAAATGATTTAGGGCAGACAAAATTTGAGAGTTTTGAGTTGGCATTGAACAACGCAGTAGAAAAATACATTCCTCTTAGATCTGTAAAAGTAAATCAGCAAAAACCATGGATAAGTCAAGCACTTTTCAAAGAAATAGACAAAAAACGCAAATTGTGGGACAGGTACAAAGGAAATAAGACAGATGAAAACTACCAAGCGTACATGAACCAGAACAACATACTTAAAAGGAATTTAGACAGAGCTAGAAAAGTATATGAACACAACTTGGTAACATCAGAATCTTTGAAACAAATCTACAAGTATGTTAGTCGAAATTTAAATTCTAAGGTGACGACAATAACATTAAAAGACCATGCTTCGCAGGAAGTTTTGGATCCTAAATCGATGACAGAGGAATTCGCTAAGCAGTTCAACAAGTCCTTCACACCACAGGATAACACTCTTCCCCCAAAATTGCCAGCAAACACTAGAGTGCAGAACACTGTCGATTCGGTGCACTTCACTGAGGAAAAGGTCATGGAAGCGCTCAAGAGCATGAAAAAAGAATCTAGTCCAGGACCAGATGGCATACCAACAGTTTTGCTTCAGAAATGTAGTACTACGGTTGGTTCTCGTTTTGCAGAGGTTATGCAGGAGTGCTTAACAGCAGAGAGAATTCCAGAACGACGGAAATTGTCAATAATTACGCCGCTATTCAAAAAAAGTAACAGACACAAGCCAGAAAACTACAGGCCCATCAGTCTTATATGCAATCCATTTAAGTGTATGGAAAAAATACTAGTCAAAGAGCTTACAACATTCTTCTTCAAAAACAATCTGATACCAGCATCCCAGCATGGATTTCTGCCGAAGCGCTCCACTGTAACTAACCGACTTGAATGTTTAAATGATTGGACTGAAAATCATGACAACTCTCATCCCACAGATGTCATTTATCTGGATTACGAGAAGGCCTTTGACAAGGTGCCAAATAAGTTATTGCTTGCGAAGTTGGAGCACTTTGGAGTGCGAGAGCAATTATTAGGATTGATCAAAGATTTACTTAGTGAAAGGTACTACCAAGTACGAGTAAACGGAGCAATGTCGAACAACCACCTGGTTAGCAGCGGAGTTGTCCAGGGTTCTATGCTGGGTCTACTGTTATTTACAGCCTACTTGTTTGATTTTGTGAATCTAGTTGAAACAAACGTGAAAAATTTTGCTGATGATGCCAAACTTTACGCCAACCCGAATCTGAGCGCAGCAGTATTGCAAGAGGATTTAAGAAGAGTCGAGAGGTGGGCAAATATGTGGGGAATGAAGCTGAATTACTCCAAATGTACAGTGCTCAGAATTGGTCCAGACAATGCCAACAAGGAATATATTTTAAACAATACAGTACTGTCAACAGTAACAGAGCAAAATGACCTTGGAGTGTCAGTCACATCCGACTTAAAATGGGAAAGCCATATTGTAAAAATCTCTAAAAAAGCCAACTCTTTTGTACATTTAATCAAGCGCGCCTTCAAAGATCACTCAATTGAGATGGTAGGAAAGTTGTACAAAAGCTATGTAAGACCGAAGCTGGAATATGCATACACAGTTTGGAATCCCTACTATATAAAAGACATAGAACTACTGGAGAAAATACAAAGGGCTGTGACCAGAATTTCACCAGAATTACAAAATATGACCTACATTGAGAGATTGGAGAGACTGCAACTAAGAACACTGAGAGAAAGAAGACACAGAGGAGAATTAATAGAAACATTTAAAATATTAAGTGGACATTACACCTGCAATATTGCACATATTTTTTCTCAAAATGAAAACCCACAACTGCGAGGTCACTCGAAAAAACTAAACAAGGAAAAGACATGTAAGCTCCAGAGAAAAAACTTTCTTTCAAATCGCGTAGTCTTTTCTTGGAATGCGTTAGCAGAAGATACAGTGTCAGTCCCCAGTTTAAACGCATTTAAAAATCGGTTGGATAGAGAGTTAAAACAAAGTGCATCGAGAATGATACATTACAGTGCCTAAAAAATAAATAATAACTCCAATAAAACAGACAGTAGCTTCATCGGTTTGATTAACCGCCTGCTATTGGAACTTTACATGATTACATAATTTTATGAAAGCAAATTTCCCAATGATGTATCAACATAGTGTAGCAAAAGACAACAAGGAGTATCATTGTCAACAACCGAAGCTGAATATGTGGCAGCAAAAGAACCTATATGGCTACGCAGATTGATGCAGGAAATTGGAATTACCTTTAATAATTTAACAAAGTTATACATTGATAATAAATGTCCTATCAGGCTAATAGATATAACTCATTATCGACATTAATTACCATTTAAATACTTAAGAAACAATGATAATCGTTATACCGCAATTTTTTGTTTATCAGTTACAATTAAATTATAATTTATATACCTGTTGAACTGGTCAAAAATGTTAGGGTGTATAGAGGAACCATAGAGGAGTAGTTTGAAATGGGACACCAATGGTTGGAAGTGCGTCTTTTTTAAAATACATACAGGGTGTTGAAATTTTAATCTCTCTGTATCTATAGCGATTTTGATAAAATTTTCAGAATTTAAATAATAGGTGGTGATGCAACTTTTTAAGGAATTCCTATTAATTTGATTTATCCAGGGTACATGGGGGTAGTTTTTTCAAGAATGTAAACTCAAATCTGGGTTTAGATATTAATACACAACATTGTTTATAGGTCCATTCAATCAACCAGTCTCATCCTACATGAAACTCTACAATCCAACTGACAAGAAGGTCATGTTCAAAATCAAAACGACAGCCCCGAAAAAGTACTGCGTCAGGCCCAACTCGGGTATCCTACTCGCCGGCGAAAAAGCGCAAATCGCCATTTGCTTGCAGCCATTCCACTACGACCCGACCGAAAAGAACAAACACAAATTCATGGTTCAGACGGTGTTCGCTCCCGAAACTGGCGACACCAACTTGGAAATATTGTGGAAGGAGATCAGTCCCGAACAGCTGATGGATTCCAAGCTGAAATGTGTCTTTGAGTTGCCACCCGAGGAGCAACCTCAGACCCTAGCGGGCGAGTTTCAACGAGCCACCGTGCATTCAGATGGTAATAATGAATCGACGAAAGCTGCTGATTCGCAAGGCAGCGATTCAGCTGAATTGGCTAAAGCAGCTAAAGAGGTGAGAATTTTTTTGAATTTTAAAAAAAAAATACTTAAAATTATTGATTCAAGATACAACGATTACAAGAAGTTGAAAGCGAACTAAGACAAGAAGTGTTGCGTTTAAAAGAAGAAAAATTGGTATTGAAAAATCAAAAGGGCATGGCGACTACTCCGAATAGATACGCGCCTCCCGTGGAGCAACCCCCGACTATGTATTTAATTGCGATAGCTATAATAGTAGGTGAGTAATCAAAGTCAAAGTCAAAAATAGCTTTATTGTCTTAAAACAAAATGTTGCTGACAAAGCCGTACTAAAATAAAGTCTAAAACTAACACTAAAATTAAAAATTAAAACATTACTCAGTTAAAACAGAGAATAAAAGAACAAAAAACAGAAAAAAATATAAAATCTCGTACAATACGCAACGCAACAATATAGAAAAAAAAAAAAAAAAGTAATAAAAGTAATAGTAAAAGTAATAACATTCACTTTTCTTACATATAAAAGTTGACTCATTACAAAAGAAACGATACCAAACATACATTGCCACTCGCTGTCAAAAACAAAGGTCCAATATTCCTCAACCAGTTACTATCCTTTCATTAAAATATTCTTCGAGACTATAGTATGCTTTATCAACCAAAAAAGCCTTAACCTGTTTCCTAAAACTTTTGTAGCATCCAAGCTTTCTTATTTCAATTGGAAGATGATTGAATAGTTTTTTACCTTCATATATAAATGATTTTTTTACCAGTTGGGAATGAGGTATGGGCAAGCCGAGAAGAAACGACTGACGAGTATTATAGTGTTTGTCCGCCTCCCTCTCAGCCCCGTATTTCCTGAACATCATGCACACCGTTTCCATTATAAACATTGAATAAAGCGTAAGGATAGCATGACTGATAAAAAGAGGGCGACAGGAATCACTCTGAATATACAACGGACTGCCCTCTTCTGAAGCAGAAACACTGAATCAAAAAGTGAACGGGTGCAGCAACCCCAAAAGCTTAGGCCATATCGTAGGTGAGATTCCACCAAAGCGTAGTATGCATTCTTAGCAACCGAGACATCCAAACTCCTCGATATCACTCTTAAGGCATAACATCCCGAAGAAATCCTTTTACGGAGATTAGAAATGTGATCGTCAAACTTGAGAGACTTATCAATTGTGAGGTTTTGTGGAGTTACAGGATTATCCTCCAGGTAAACACTCTCCAGTTCACATTTGAAGTTTAAAACATTGGTTTTCGAAACATTAAAAGACAATAAATTGGAGTCGCACCAGTCCTTCACCATCCTCAAATCTGCATTTATGTCATTATTGAGTTTTTCCACATCTGAGCCGTGCCACAAAATTGTCGTATCGTCCGCAAAAAGAGTAAACTTTCCTGAAATTGGGAGTTGGGGCAAATCGTTGACATAAATCAGAAAAAGAATGGGTCCCAGCACAGATCCCTGTGGGATTCCAACATTGATGTTCATGCGTTCTGACTCACCATCCTGAAATCTTACGGTCTGCGATCTACCCGACAAGTAGGAGCGAAACCACCTCAAAGCACCACCTCGAAAACCATACCGCTCAAGCTTCCACAGTAGTATCTCGTGATTCACACAGTCAAACGCCTTGGAGAGGTCACAAAAGACTGCCGAGGCTACCTCTCCACCATTCAACTGCTTATAGAGTAGCTCAAGGAAACTGAAAATGGCATCGCCAGTGCCAATCCCCTCTCGAAAACAGAACTGTTGGGCGATCAGGAGTCCAAGTCTACCGAGAAAGGCTAACATCCTTCTCTTCACAAGCTTTTCTACTATTTTAGCCATGATAGGTAGCAGCGTTATTGGACGGAAGTTTGACGGCGTGTCGTGGTCTCCACCCTTATGCAAGGGAATAACCACAGCTTGTTTGAGACACACAGGAAATTCGCCCGACAGAAACGAACTATCTATAGCCCTTGTGAAAGCTCGCAAGGCTCCATCAGGCAAAAAAGACACAACCCTCAAAGAAAGATTATCCCAACCCGATGTATTCTTATTTTTAATCTCGTAAATAATTTCCTTAATCTCTTGTACCGATGCTGGGGATAAAAGGAATGTCTCAGCTACCACAATGTGCTCTAGATAGGCCCTAGGATCAAGCGGCTGATGAATACTAGCGGTTAGATTGGATGCAATGTTACAGTAAAAGTGGTTAAGATCATTAGCCTTTAACTTGCTCATAACTACCTTTTTATTATTATTCTTCCCCAATAAGTCACTAACAATCTTCCACGATTCTTTGGATGTGTTGGAGGAATTTTTGATTCTATCACGGTAATACATGTCTTTAGCCTGTCTTATGGAATTTCGGTAAATTTGGCGATACCTATAAAAATACTGAGTGAAGTCTTGGTTGTTCATGGAATATTTTCTTATGTAGTGAAGAGAACGCATATTTTTCCCAGAGATACGCAATCCTTGGGTATACCAAGGTTTACGTTTTCTTTTTTTTAAATTAACAATTGGAAAGGATGTATTAAAATTGTTATGAACAATAGCGTGGAGCGTTACCAATGAGTCGTCTGTGGCAAGAACACCATTCCAGTCAGACCGTGCACACAACAGTTTGAACCTTTCAAAGTTCCTTGCTGTATACAGCCTACCCCGTCTTATTTTATGCTCAGTGTGTACTCCAAACGGGATACAACAGTGTACAGCCTCATGGTCAGACAACCCAGCATTAGTAGTATTACACGCCACCAAGTCTGCATCAATGTTGGAGCATATATAATCCAGGACAGATGATGACAACGCTGTACGTCTGGTTGGCTGATCGACATGCATACATAAGTTAAAAGAATCCAACAAGTTACACAGCAACTGATTATATCTATTGTCCCTGTCAAAAAAATTTATATTCAAATCACCAGACAAAACTATGTTAGCGTTAAGTGGAATTTCAATCAAAAGAGATTCTAGTTTATTAATGAATGATTGAATATTCCCAGAAGGAGATCTATAAATCCCCAACACATACAAGTTAAAACGACTACAATACACAACAGAAACTTCAAAAACTCTCTCTTCTAAAAGATGATCAAATCTCTCAATTGAAGTAAACTCAAACCTGCTGAGAAAGTCATTCTGCATCATAATCAACACTCCACCATGTGCATACTGCTTCCGAGAATAGTTCGACAACAGTGAATAATTCTCAAATCCAAGAGGTTCATCACATCTAAGCCAGTGTTCCACCAAAACAACGATGTCCGGAAAATTCAGACTCCAAAAATAACACCAATTCATCAACCTTATTTCTAACAGACTGGATATTAAGTAACACTAGAGCAAGGCTTCCTTGAGCTGAAGTTGCTCTAAAAAAGGAGGGGTGCGTCCCTGTGCATTTGACCGCGAGTCACAAATTTCTGTTATGTCTATAATTTCCTTCTCAATATTTTTCTTGTGTAAATTTTTATTTATAAAATCTAAGACCTTTTTACGTATTGCTTGACCTATCCTTACCTTGCCTCTATATTTAATATATAAATTATTATTATTATTATAATTAAAGTAAATGTCTTTATTTCCTATAAAGGCATTGAAATGCAGAAAGCAATTACTCATGTCTCCATTACATAACCTGTTGAACATCATTTTATTGTACTCATTGATAAAGTTATTGACTAATGTGTTATTGTTCCATAGGGGAACAGAACAAATTATAACATTTCTGTATTTACCTACTGATTTAATAGTCTGTATAGTTTTTTCTTCAATATGTCTTCCCTTCACTAAGTTTGTCACACCAGCCATTAAAATCACATAGTCTTTTTTTGTAAAAATGACGTGTATAATTAAAAACCTCTTTCACAATGTCATCGAGTAACGCATTCTCTTTAATTAAGGCCGAAACGTGATACTCTTTTCCCATACATCGCTCCACAATATCCCTGAAACCTTTCGCCAAACCATCACCCAAGATGAATATATTATTCTTAGGGGGAGTAACTACGTCGCCTTTCTCTTTTGCATTTTGGCTTCCCGCATTCATTTGTTCAGCATGGACTTCTCTGCAGCTCTTTAAATGAAATACTTCACCACGCAGTCGCTTAGTTTCCCTTGCAGCCATATCATTTTCTTTCTCCAAGACTTCACAGGAAACCCTCAAATTGTTGTTCAGAGCTGTTAACTCTTCCAAGTTTTCCTTCGTCTTCTGCAAAAGGTCCTGAAGGTGGGTATTCCGTTCTGCTACCTGTATGATTTCCGCCTTTAGTGTAGATACGACTTCCTGATATTTTTTTATTTCATCGGAGTGTTCTCTTTCATAGTTCAGAATATCATCCTCAAAAACCTGTGAGTTCCTTCGGAGTCTGCCTATATATTTATCCTTTTCATGGATCTCTTCGGTTAATTTTTTTATCTCTTCTTGAAGTTGTTTTTCCCTTTCTTGAGCATCCGTTTCGAGACATTGACATTCATCAGAACAATAGATCTTTTGTTTTCCCAGTTTTATTCCTCCTCTCCAGTCCCTATCAAAGCAGCTTTGATGGAACATCCTTGAGCAACCAATACATATCAAGTTCTGTTGATTTTTTCCACAACATCTAAATTTTTCCATATCCCACCTCTTGACAATTGTTGATAAATTAAAAATCAAAATTTGAATGGGAATTCAACCCACTTGCCACTAGGTACCGACCTGTGTAATTCCAATTAATGAATCACCACAATAACAAATAACACCAGTTTTCAGGTGGACAAAAAAAAAAAGCCAAAATGATAGCAAGAAATGTTGGGATTTAACTTACTGATAAGCATATAATTTATGCACTTTTTTTCCCTTAGGTGTCCTCTCACTGTTTAAAAACTATTTAAACAAATTTCTCCATTTCCCATTTTTGTGTGTAATATTTTCTTTTGAAACATATATAATGGAATGGTTCACAATTTTCTGCACATTTCTATACTACATACACAATTTAACTCAACTTATAAAAGCACAAAATTGATTTAAGTTCGGTGATTTATTTATACTCGACTCGACGTATAGGTATCTATAATGTATGTAATCATTAACTATTAATTAATTGATTGATTTTGTAACAATAATGAATTTTTTTTTGCAGGACTCATGGGAATTATGGTAGGCAAGCTTGTGCTCTGAAAAAATCCCTCGAAACACAACACTGTAATGTATATTTAATAAAAGTAAATGCATCTAAACATTACCCATTATACCTTATTATGTAACATAAATGAAAATTTTTTGGTGGCCACTCGCTCTCGAGTTTATTCCTAGAGATTCTTGTGTAAATAACTAAAGGGCGGGGCTTAAAAATAAATACTGGTTAGTAAGTTTTAACTATTTCGCACTATTTTTTTATTTTATTTTGTTTGTGAGTGTTTCAAATAAAATTGTCTAGCGTCTACTTTTTGGGGAAGGATCTTGTTTGTTTTTATTCTCTGTACATATTAATAAATCGAAGTATTTTTTTATCTGAAACACCCCACTTTTGCAATACAGTGTTTTTAAGGGCTGCGAGTCTATTATTCCCTGATCCTTGGATCAAAGACGAATCCTTTCTTTTGAGGATCTTGTGTTATTTTGCAGACTGTATTGGGTCTATAAAATATTTGTTTTTTTTTTTTAATTAGTATGTGCGCTTTAATTTTTAAGTTTATCATTATTTGTATACAACAATATTGGTTTAGTGTTTTAGATGAGTAAATATTCAATAATTTTTAGATTTGGAAAATATAAATGTTTGAAAAGTTTTTTTTTTTTTTTTCCTTTTTACCTGTACTTTCAATTAGCATTTCTAGTTCCGATAACTACTGTTAGAAACCTGGAGTTTTTTGCTGGCTTCAATGTAGAAATTTCGGATTCCGGCAGTTCGCTATCGCTAAAAGTAATCTAAAGGGCAAGAGCAATTCTCACCATCTGGAATAATAAAATTAGGGAAAAGTACTGTGTCTTTGGTGGCAATGAAACCCTCCATTGGTTATATTTATTTATATGTTATTTAAAATAATTTGGGTTCCCGCAATAGAGGTCCAGGTACCAACAATTGGAAACATCTTGTTGGGATATTGATGTTTACAGGACATTGGTTGTAAAAATAATTCCAGCTGACACATCTTTGAAACTTAAATAATCAATAAGTTATAGAATACCTAATTAATGAGGGACTAAACCAAACCAAACAGATGGTGAAATTTGTCAGAGAGAAAATGTGATAAACATAATTGTTATTAATAATAAAATGGTGAATTTACTGGTTCACAACACTACTATTGATGGTAATAGAAAGTAATGATGTATCGCGACAGATTTTATTGGTTGAAAACTGTTTGTAAACCAATCGAAAACATTCTGACTGGTTGTTAATTTCTTTAGGAACAGACCTAATACAGTATCAAATGTATTTCCTAAAAAATTCATAGGTGAGATGATCAGAATGATTTCAAGAAGATCTTTTGAATTTTTGTGGAACTCTTTATCTTATGTTAATATTGGGTTTAATAAAAATATACCTCAGGTTGATTTTTGGACTTTAAGTTCATTATTGAAATAAATAAACATTATTGGATTGTGGGTCTCAAGAAAACCCCACATTTTGGTCCTTCATGGCAGATATTTGGAAATATAGGGAGTGAATTGGAATTGACTTGATTCAGCAGAAGCCTATATTAATTCTCTCACAGGAGAACGTCAAAAATTATTTGAGCAAGGTCAGTGTCAGGGTTATAAATAGGTAACTATTTAGTTGTGTCATTATATTACATTTAGGGGTTTTAAGGGCCCTTTCTATATTTTCAAGTAAAGGTTTAGATACTATCAGATATATTTATTACTGCTAAAATCGCTGATGATCTGGTCAAATTACATAAATAGTGGTATTATTAAGGGGCATTTAACAAGGTAGGATAATTTCATAATTAATTTTGATGGTTCAAAGGAGGCTAAAATTCCCATACGATTATCAAAGTTGGTAAGAATTTGAAGACAAGAGGAATAGGGACAGCTCTCAAAAGCAATTAGACAAACAAGAGAAATTTTATTCCGTTTTTTTTTGTTGATATTTTTGATAGAGTGGAATTATTGAGAATTACGTCAGGGGCTACATCAAATTATAGGGGAATCCTCGCATGCACAAGATCAGAGGTTAAATGACTTGCTATGGAAATTCCAAGTTTTTATTGGCCTTTCATACAGTGGCTCGAATTTCATGACACATTCAACGCACTTGTGGACGCTAATACCACCCTATCAGATATTCAAAAGTTTCAATATTTGAAGGGTGCATTAAAGGGTAAGGCAGCTTCATAAAATGGAGGTTTCATCAGCAAATTATAAAGAGGCTTGGGCATTATATTTGCTTTGTTACCATGAATTAATTTTTAATGAACAAAATGCGTGCTTCTTGAAAATTGTGGTAAGAAAAATTATTTCCAGGATAATATAGTAACAAGAATAAGGCACCTCGCCAATCGGCAGTAGATCAGAATCCACAGATTATTAACAGTGGTAAAGTTGCAGGTGCAAAAAGAATTCCTGATGCAGAAGAGTATAAACAGGGCGGCAAAGCGTTGGAGAAACAAAATCCATGGTTTCATAACATGTGAAGTGTGGAGAACAGAGTCGGTGCCGATGGAGTTCAAAGAGCTTTCAATATGCGCGTTATACATGGGTAAAGGCAGTGCTTTGCACTGTAACTCTTGCCGATTTTCCACCAAACAGACAAAACAAAACATTTTCATGACAAGCGTGTTTTGAGACAGTTGGAGTTTTGTTTTCCCAAGAAAACAAAACGTAGTCTGCTTGATGGAATTTTGTGTTTGTTTTTGTTTTGAAACATAAACAAAATACAAACTCAACAGTCCGTTTGGTGGAAAACCGGCAATTACAGAGGCCTACTTATCACTTTTTGAGCATATAGGTGTGAAAATTTCAGCCAAAATAATCCTAAACAAACTCCAACCTATCTCTGAAACTATTCTGCCAGAGTCCCAATACGGGTTTGGTTTAGAGCGAAACGGGGAACAGCGGATGCGACATTTATAATAAGACACCTACAAGAAAAGTATCAGGAACAGAACCAGATTGATGCGCTACATATCAAATACCGTTATGATAAAAGTCTGTACAACCTTCATAGACTTGAGACTCTGTCTAAATCTAAGATGGAACTCTTGCGCATAATTGAAATTTTCTATGATGACTAATGCAGCAAACACCGAATAGAATGTGCATGAACTTCCTCCTCAAATGAACATCGATCCATATTTGACGGCACAGAATTGGAACAAGTAAAGTTGCTTTACTTTAAGTATCTGGGCAGTATCATGACACCAGATGCAATAGCTTAGACGCTGATGCCAGGGCCGGATTTTACACTCGTCCAACTCGTGCGCCGCACGATGGCGGCAGCCCGAGGGGGCAGCATATTCTATCTAGGTATATCAGTATATTTTTATACAGATTTTAAAAAAATTGAGAAAAATACTGTCGCGGCTTTGGGTTGCCTGCTGACAAAAATCTTGGGTTCGTTGTTCGTTTCGTTTATTCCAAAAATCAAAGTCCAATTAACACAGCAATAATTTATTCCACTTAACAAAACACTCTGACACTAATTACTTTATTAACAAACTCAACAATTAAACTCTTTACAATCACTATTTAAATCGTATCACAGTCGAACTGAAACTTAAACTTACAAATCAATGCCGGCCTTCTTATATATCCCTAATTCTATTCCTGTAAAATCTAGAATACACACGATGATCTAATTTTCCAGATAAAAGTAGAATAATTCCCTAGATTCTAGTATTTTTACCATCGATTCTTGACAGCCTGGCGGACGATATTGTAACAATACCTTTAATTAAATTATATTGCACGAACAGGCGGCCAGTTGTTGGGGCGCGTGCTACCTTCCAAGTGGTACGAGCACCTCTGAAAAGTAGTACGAGCGCCCTTGGCCAATCACCTGCTAGCGATAAACAACAAACGAACCACCCACGGATAGGGCTCCGTCAAGTTAGCCTCCTACATTCGAATTTTTCAACACCTTACTGTGCTCAAAGTGTGCTTCAATGTGCCCCTGTGCCGATGATATTTTGAACTGTGCCGTTCCGATATCGAAGTTATAGGAAAAACAAGATGAGGGACTAACTTGACGCTCGGCCCCCCCAAAATTTTGGAAATCAGATCGAACAGAAATTAATTCTTATGCAATTGGAAGTGTGCTGAACTGTGCTGTATCAGGTTTTTTTGAAAATTTTCTTATTCGGTCATTTTCCGACAATATCCTATTGGAAGGCTAACTTGACGTTCAGCCCTCCCCAAAATTTCGGAAATCAGATCAAACAAAAATTGACTTCTATTCAATTTGAAGTGTGCTGTGAGTATCAGGTTTTTCCACTGGTTTTTCTCAACATTTCCATACACGGTCATTTTCCGAAAAAATCTTACTATGGGGGGCTAACTTGACGGTCAGCGCCCCCAAAATTTCGAAAATCGAATCAAACAAAAATGAATTCCTATTCAATCTTAAGTGTAGACTAGACTGAATTTTATTTTTTTGTAGGGTACCTACACTTTAATAGCGAAATGCGTTCGCAAAAATAGTGCGGCATTAGTGTGGCACACTCGAAGCAATTAAATATTTGAATGGGTGCACATTGGATAAGAATTCATTTTTGTTTGATTTAATTTCAAAAATTTTGAGGGGCTAAGTGCCAAGCCACCCCCAACCTCACCACAGTAGGATTTTGTGAGAAAATGATGACGAATATGTAAATTTTGAGAAAAACCTGATACAACAATTCCAGCACACTTCAGATTGCATAAGAAACCATTTTTGTTTCATCTGATTTCCAAAATTTTGGGGGGTTGAGCGTCAAGTTAACCCCCCAGTGGAATTTGTCGGAAAATGACCGAATATGGAAATTTTGAGAAAAACCTGATACATCACAGTTCAGCACACTCCATATTGTATGAGAATCCATTTTTGTTTGATCTGATTTCCAAAACTTTGGGGGGGCTGAGCGTCAAGTGAGCCCCTCTAATAGGATTTTGTCGGAAAATGACCGAATATGGAAATTTTGAGAAAACCTGATACAGCATACAGTTCAGCATACTTCAGATTGCATAAGAATTCATTTTTGTTCGATATGATTTTCAAAATTTTGGCGGAGCTGAGCGTCAAGTTAGTCCCCATCTTGTTGTTCCTATAATTTTGGTATCGGAACTGCACAGTTCAAAATATCATTTGGCATAGTAAAGCGTAAAGCACACTTCGAGCACAGTAAAAGGTTGCAATTTTGTTGGAGAATTCGAATGTGGGGGAGGCTAACTTGACGGAGTCCACGGATAGAATATTGTGAAAAATTTCCTTCCCCCGAAGCAAAAAGTTCCTGGGGGGCAGCAATACAAGCCCTTGCACGAGGGCGGCCAAAGAGCTAGCACCGGCCCTGCTGATGCTGATGTGAATACTCAAATTGTGCACCGTGCAACAGTCTTATTACCAACTCTTTTATATGGATCAGAATTATGGATTTTATAGAGGTGGCACATTTTGAAACTTGACCAATTTCATTTGAGATCTCTTAGATCAATACTGACTATAAATAAGTAGAATCTCTTTTTCTGCGTTGAGCAAAAATCGATGGCATTGAGTCTGTTAATGAAACGGCAACTTCATGGTGTGGTCACATAGTGCGTATGAACAATAATGACCGCTTCACAAAGCAGGCATTTTTCTCAGAGCAACTCCAGTGCAGAAA